TTAGAGAGACATTAGAGAGACAAGGCGTATGAGGCAATATCTTTTATTGGACCAACGTCTGTTGTGAGAAACACAAGCTTTTGAGTTTTACTGTCCAACCTGTCAAACTCCCTTAATCTACTGATTACTGTTAGCCACAGCTGAAATAAAGCTTCAAATCATATTACACAAATAAGTCTCCTAATTAGACATGGGCAAATATTAAGGAGAATGAGGAACCCTAATTCAGATGTCAAGCTCAATGCGTGAACCAGAGCCATTAGAACAGAATGCAGTTTCATGCATTTTTAATGTCAGATGTCTTCTTTGCACAACTTTAGGTTCAACACCATCTATCTAGTTCACTCGTGATCTAGCATTAAAAAACGCTGTGAATTTAAGAACTAAACAATACTGCTGAAGGAGGACACATTTATCACCACCACCAGATTTCTATTTTTTAAACTATATTTAAAAAAAAATTGATTCCAAATTCAGCAAGTACACATTGCAGTGTGAATATATTCATTTATAAATCCATTTTTATTTCTTCAGACATTCAGTAAGTCTTTGAAGCTTGCTTGCTAAATATTTTGAGGTCTCCAGCTTTCTGCAATTTAGATATTACCAAAAACTTTATTTTCTCAAAATAAAATAGTGGTAATACTCACACTTAGATAACATTCACTTTCATAGATCAAGTACATTGTAAAACTGCATAAGCAGCACCACTATTTTACAAAGATACTACAACAGAAGTTAAACTCAAGGTTACCTGGTAAGTCAGTAGCAGAATTGGGAAAAAACTCAGATATGCTGGCTCCCACCTCCCAGGACTAATCAGCCTGACCTACAGTTGCCCCACTTTTATTTTATCCTCATACATCTTGATCCATAACAATTTGCAAGAAATGCCACAAAGATATTACCTATTATTGCACCTGTTTATGCTGTCTGAAACAGAATAGTCTTACTGTATGCAAATCCAGACAGACTCTTAATGGTGGGTGTCAATACCTGTAATCCTTATCTGCTATATATCTCATTTTAAGAATCAGAGCATACCTGACGTAACCATATGTTACTGAAAGCAGAAATCTATTTACTTTGTTTACTTAAAAGACTTTAATAGTAACCATTTACCATCTGTGTGCATCAAATGCTAGCATCAAATAACTAGCCCAAATGTTCCTATGCCAAGATTATTTTTCATAGTTAGCCCTGCTTTGAAAATTACTATAGTTAAATGAAGCCAATATTTATAAGTTATGCTGATTCATAGCTGTTCTTTTTCATCAATACATTTGTGGTTTTTTAATTAAAACAAATAGTTTTATAAACTATATGTAGTTAAATAAAACTAGATTCCCCTGATAGTTAGAGAATACTTTAATCCAATCTCAACACATAGTAATTCCAAAGTGTCCAGGCTGATGTGACACTTGTTAACTCACTCTACTTTTGATGAAGCAATTTAATCAAATTCAAATTTTACTACACTTAACTGTTTTCAGAAATTCAAATTAGAAAATACTGGACTAGAACTATGTTCTCTTAGCCATTTTTTTTTCATGTCATAAACGGACACTCCCTCTTGCAAGTGAACAAAGTAGTGCAGGTTGTACAACCTTCATTGAGCCCAGAAATTTACAGTCTGGACTGACCAGAGACTGCTAGAGAGAACAACGAGGAGTCCTTGTGGCACCTTAGAGACTAACCAATTTATTTGGGCATAAGCTTTCGTGGGCTAGAACCCACTTCATCAGAAGTTATGCTTGTTTCTCTGGGAAGGAGGAGGAAGTAGATTTGTTCTTGCATACATGGGCTACTAGGTAGTGAGAGTTATCTTGGTGTTAACTGGCCACTTCACTTTGAATTGAATGTCTCTGACAATGTGTGTTTACTTATGATAAACAATCTGTTCCACCTTGTATTAGCTGTGACATTTGAGTACATTTCCTAGACCTGTAAAGAAGAGCTCTGTGTAAGTGCGAAAGCTTCTCTCTCTCTCACCGATAGAAGCTGGTCCAATAAAAGATCTCTCACCCACTGTGTCGAATATCCTGGGATCAACATGGCTACACCACTTCTTTAAAACATCCTGAGAGCAGAGTCTGGGACACATCTAAATAGCCTCAAATCTTTGAAGAGCAGAGGCAGGAGCTTGAATTTTGAAAACATGTCCCTCTCCATAGTTGAGCACAGAACCTGGTGAGTCAGGACAGAACAAACCAAAACATGTGCTTGGCCATGTCCTCTGGCAATCAGCAGTTTAACTTTGATAGATTGCTGCAAACCAATTGTGGAAGCTTAGCATAAATGATTCTTTGTGAACGGTCATCATCCACTGAGTGATTACTCTAGACAAAGTATGAGTCTGACTGCCCCTAACTTCCCAGCTAAGCGGAGTCATCTAAAAGATGGAGTATCCCAAATTCACTATTTTGGAGGAAAGACGGGGAGGACAAGTTCTAGAGACTCCACTGCATAAACAGATAGCTCACCACCTTGAACCAGAGACCTAACCTCTACTGGAGTAATGTTTTGAACCTCAGAGATGTGAGAAACCAGATAAGCCACCAGTGGGTACCCTCCTGTGTTGAAAAGCACCATCTTGACTGCAGGGGAACCAAAGGCAGGCCCCGAAGAGACAGAAGGATGCTACAGAAGTGGTGGAAAGGGAGGTGGCTTTAGAGGTTGTTCCTCTGCTGGGGGAAGAACAGGAAGGATGTCAAAAAAGCTCTCTGCTAGGAAGAGGTCATGAAGCTGCAGCAGCCTTGTTCCGGTAGGCTAAACTCCAGAGTATAAGAGCGCCCTCACTGAAAAGGAGAAGCATAATGGTAGCACAGCTCCTTTATCTCTATTTCAATATGAAAGCCATCGATGGAATCTCCTCCTTGCTATCCACGTTGATGGCTCCACTGATCAGGATGCAGCTCCTGGTCTTTCTGAACTGATGCTGGGCAGAGAAGTGAGGTGCAGTCACCTAGTTGCTGGCCCCTACTAAATTCTACAGTCTGCCAACTATGGCAAGTCCACATGAGCCCTGGCCAGGAAGAATGGGCCCAAGAACACCATGTAAATCAAATCAACCCAATTGACTGAAGCTGAAGTCTCCTGGATCAACAAAAGCAGCGATTCCTTCTCCTGATTCATAAGGAATCCAGGTACCAACTGGGTCAATGGAACATAGAAAAACTGTCAATCAGCCTTCCTGAAATGGCAAGCAGAACCTGAAAGGGGCCAACAGGAAGATGACTGGAAGCCAATACTTTCTTGATTCCTTCTTGACTAAAAGCAAAGGGAATAGCACCCATTGTTTACATTGGCTGAAATCAATCGCCAAATTAGGAAGTCAAGCGTTAATCTAATTTAACACTACTAGGAATGAAATCTGTTTTTTCTATTAGTTACAGAACAGTAAGCAGAACAATGTTATCCATGAAATTGTGCATGTAGCTCCAACATGGAGAGGCACAAAATATACTGCTTAAGTCTGTTTTTATCTTAAGACTGGATTCTAGAAGAAAAGGCAGAACCAGCACGGGAATTCAAAATCACGTGAAATGGGATCCAAACGAATTAAAAACTGGTTACGTAATCGCTATACAAGTTTAGAATAATTATAACAAGCTAACCAGAATTTTTGATAAAAGTAAAATTCTGAGTGTGAAGTTCAAGTTCCTATCACTGCACTTAGTCAGTGAGAAAGGAAGGAACGGAGGTGATAGGGGTTAACAAGGCCTCACAATACTTCAGCTCCAGATGCTTAGTGCCATGAAGAGGCACTCAAGCGGTCTCAACAAGCACTGCTTTTCTAGAATGTTCCCAGAACTCAACTGCATTTTCCCACCCCACGGTGGGGGACGGGGTGAGAGAGAAAGAAAGAGATTAACTCATGTCCCAAGTAGGAATATTCAGAAGCCACCCTAAGGAACACAGCATGTTTATACTATATGGAAGTAAAATTAAGCAAAATGATAGTATTGCTGTTGGGGGACTCTTCTACTACAAAGTCCTAGAGTAATGCGACAATACAGTTTTGAGTTGTTACTCTAGGCTACAGTAATATTATTGCTAAGAAATTGCTGGTTCAAAGGAAAGAGCTGTTTGATGACTCAGTATTCCACTGTGGCACTAGGAAGTACCATACTGACAGAGTTACTGTGTCAAATAAGGCACCAGACCAAGGCTTTGATCACATGAGGTCATTAAAGAGGACATACATTTTCACAAGAATAAATGTTTCAGAAAAGCGACCCAAGCACTAGAACTAAATTTATAGATCGTTCCTTTTGCCTTAGAGGTGAAAAGACTATGGTAGTTTTTCTTCACTTCCTGTGCTGAATTGTGGGGTAGTGTCTGTGTCCTGTCATACTGCTGCTGCATTTCAGGGCGTGGGTGAAAAGCTGGTTTTCAGAATGAATGGTATTATAGAATTTTACTATGCCAGCTTTGTGTGGTACAAGTCAGAGTCCTCAATCAGAATTAGAGATTTAATTCATAAATTGACATGGACCTATTAGCAGTAGTGAAGAAAGCTCATCCTTAGGTGGCTAATTCAACCCTTCTACCATGGATCACTGCCACTGAAGATTATTTGAAGGGACTCTTTAAAGTATCTTGTTAATCCTGCCAAAGATCATCCACAGAACAAGCTTCACAGGTTATATATCATTCATATCTATAGAGCAAATTATGTTGCATGGTTAACACTAAAGTTCATCAGTGGATCACAGTCATCATAGAATGATAAACAGCCATTGATGACAGTAACCTAACAGTACAGATAATCTATTTTTTAGTTCTACAACTTTAAGACACCATCCAAACTTCACCTTAAATTGTTTTTCAAGAGTTGCACCTCAAACTCATGTTTTTTCTGAGCTTAATGAGGACTTGAAGAATGATCAATTGTCATAAATGGAAAGCAGATTTAATGCAACATGGAATAAGGAAAAGAAATTCAATTTCATTTCTGTTCCTACACAGTAAAGTTTTGTTTTTAAACAGTTACTCACAAAGTGTCCCTCCACATCATCCCTGAAAAGCAAAATTATCTTCTGTGCTGTTCATACACCTGCAGTTGAACATACAAAAAAAAGTGGAGCAGAAAGTCACAGACTGACAGCAAGAAATAGAGCGTAGATTCCCAGATCTCAAAGATTTTAGCAAAGCAGGGCAAGCTCTGCCAAAATCATTCATACTTAACTGATTCTCTCCTTCCTTGTTCCACCAACTGTTCCCACTGACACTTAGGGATAAAAGAATGAAAGAGAAACCAAAAAATGCTTTTCTGTTGGCAAATATTACATTACTATTGCTGGGGTTCTGGAACAATTTGTATAGGGCGGGTGCTGAGAGCCACTGAACCAAACAGTAAACCCTGTAAAGGATAGAAACCACTTCAAGCCAGAGAGTGCTGCTGCACCCCCAGCACCCCTAGTTCCAACACCTCTGACTACTGCTGCTGCTGTGGGAATGAGGATGAATTATGAAAACTAATCAAGTGAGCAGGGAAACTACAGGCCCTAGATTTTTCAAATTAATCTCACGGTTTAACCTAGCTGTGCCTGACCCTGCCTATCTATCCCATGAACAGTTTACTAAAACGGAAGCTGTGACTATCTTAGGTGTGAAGGGAAGAACCAGCCTAAATTACCAGCGTGATATAAAATATGCACATTAAAAGAAGAAAACGCCTCAATTTTTATGAGCCATATTTTTTAAATGTACCACAATCATTTACAGTATCAACCCCCCCATTCTTCATTCTCAAAGGTTTAATCTTAAAATACCTTTAAAATAATGAGAGAGATTGATTCTAGTGTTTAATCATAACTCAATTTAAATTTACAGATTTTACTAAAGGGCAAACTGATGCAATTTTACTTACCAAAGCCCACTACTTTTATTTGCAACTAACACAGAATTGTAACTCATACACTGCAAAGCATGTAATACCATTGAACTACTCTTATTTTTAGCTCTGAACTTATTTACTTTCCTATTTTGTATTATAAAGAAAGAAACTGCAACAAAAATTTGCTACTATATGGACTTTATATCGGTTACTTTTATGGAAGATGGTACACTGAGCTGTATAGTCCTAAAACACCTTCTGAACAGGTTGTTCTCTCATTTGCATTTATAGGTGTTAAATGAGTTGTATTATTCATGTGCATGAAGTGAAAAATAATTTCACATAAAAAGTTTATAAAATGGCACATTTGTTTAAATACACCACAAAGCTCATGGATCAGTCCTACAAAAAAAAATTAGCAATTTCTGCAAATCCCTCAGGCACTCAGCCTCAGTTAACAAATAAAGCTCCCTATACCAATACCTCCATGCAAACAAGGGCCTATACCAATTGAAAAAAAAAAAAACTTCAACTTTAAGGGGTGCCTTTCTGTTCAGGAGTAGGAGTCATGATAAACGCTAATCTAGAATCTTACTTAAATGGGAACTGTCAAATCAGACACATACATTAAAAGTGATTCACATGAATAAAGTGAAAGCATTACTTATTAATTCATTGTGTTCTAAGCAACACCTAGAACATGGCATTACCAAAAATGGCACCATATAAAAGAAATCCTTTAACAACCTCTAACTTGCCTGTAGTCACTTCTGTTGCCACTGCTAGAAGAACAAAGTTGTTCTCTGCTTCTTCTGTTGCTGCTGCACCTCAGGACATGCTACTGGTTCAACTGACCTTGAGGTTTTCCTACGTCAAAGAGAAGAAGTCCACTAAATAAATTTTTTAAAAAACCAAACACAAAATGTTGCTGCTAGAGATCACATTCTATCAATCTTCACCACTAAAACAAAATCATTAATTCACTCTCCAAAAGCAAGACACTCAACAAAATGCCGTTCTCCAAATTACAATCATAAAACAAACCTGGATGTGAAGTCCTGTCTGTATAATGGACAAGAAAAGTTAATCTAATTAGAATGGAGTTTGTTGCTTGATGGCTTTATTCATTCTAATACATTCCCCTAGCTGTTCCAGTAGCATTTAGGGGCCTACACAGAGCTGTTTCCAAATATATCTGGCAGGGCAAAAACCCTAGACTCAACTTTGTAATCCGTGGTTGAACGAGGTAGTGAGCCCTCCTAAACCTTCCCAAGAGTCACTGCCTGACAAGGCATTATGGAGAGAAACAGAGGTTGGCTTAGTTTTGGATCAAGGTACAAATGGAGATTCCTATGACTGGAATGCTAAAAATTAGAGCCCTGCAAATCTGCGGACCATGTTTGCGGATCAGATTCAGATACAAATTTTGTGTCCAAGCAGGGCTCTACTAAAAACCAATGGTTATAACCTATTTGGGAAGGACTGAATGGGCAAAAAAGATAAGGGAGTGGCCCTCTGGCATTACCTGTTTCCAAGTAACTGAAAACTCGGAAGAACGCTTCATCTCTTAACAGATAAAGTAAAACATGGGGTGTTGATTGTCTGTAGCAGACACCAAATAAATCACACTAGGAAACAGTATGACTGGCTCCTTACTCATCTCTGGGTATGTCTATACTACCCGCCGAAACGGCAGGCAGCGATCGATCCAGCTAGTCTAGACGCAATAAATTGACCCCCGAACGCTCTCCCGTACTCCACCGCTGCGAGAGGTGCAGGCAGAGTCGACAGGGGAGCGGCAGCAGTCAACTCAGCGCAGTGAAGACACCATGGTGAGTAGGTCTAAGTATGTCAACTTCAGCTACGTTATTCACGATCCCCCCGCCCCCTAATGTAGACCAGGCCTATGATGTGTAGGCAAAAAAAGCAGCGTGATTATACAGGACTTAAAATTGAGGGACGCATGCTGGAGGTCTCATGCTGCTAATACTAAAACAGCCTTAGAATTTCTAAATATTATAGATGACAATTTCGTAACTCAAGAAGTACTGCATCCAACATGGGGGAATTCTATATTGGACCTTGTTTCCACAGATAGAAAGGAACTGATCACAGAACTAAAAATTAATCGTCGCTTACATACAAGTGATCATGACTTGATCATATTTATAATGTGCAAACAGAATACAGTCCAGAGCAGTGATATATACATGCATACATGGAAAAGAGCCAATTTCACAAAGCTGAAAACAATTATGAGCCAAATCAGCTGGGAGGAAGAATTTAATCAGAAAAATGCAAGTGATAATTGGAAATTATTTAAGAACACTTTAGTAGATGCCCAAAACTACAAAATCCCACAATATATGACAAATGCTGTATTGATTAAAAAAAAAAAGAGCTGGTTTAGAAGGGAAGGGAAGACAGCTATAAAAAAATAAAATAACAAATGGAAGAAAGGGGAAGTTAATAGTATTGAACATAAATGAGAAGCTAGGAATTGCAGAACATTAATAAGGGAAGCAAAGGGACACAAGGAGAAATCTATAGTCAGCAGAGTTAAGGATAAGAAGGGAAGTTTTTTAAATACATAAGGAACAAAAAAAACCTAATATGGTCCTTTACTAGATGGAAATGGTAGAATTATCAATAATGCTGAAGAGGCAGGTTAGATTTTGTGAAAAATCCACACCCAGGAGAAGTAGCTATAAAGACTAAACCCCCAGTGCAGACAACACTAGGTCAACAGAAGAATTCTTCCGTCAACCTAGCTACCACCTCTCAGGGAGGTGGATTACCTACACCAACAGGAGAAACCCACCCGTCAACATAGGTAGTGTCTACACTGAGCATTATAGCTGCCCTGCTGTACTGTTTTAAGTGCTGATATACCCCAAGGCTCAGGACAAGGAACAGCTGAGTATTATGCCCTAAAAATGTGTTTTTGTTCACTGCTACACAAGAAAAAAGGACAGGACTTCAAATTAATAACTATTCTCTGAAAGGTGATTTGGTTAACAGTAGTCCAACAGGTATTGTAACTGTCAAGAAAGGGAACCCAATAGTAATCAAAAACAAGTTTCACTATATATGCAGGCTTAAATAATGGTAATGGCTAGAGTCTATCAATGCAAGTCCACCTGAAGAAAAACTGATCCTGTGGGATATGCTCACTTGAGTGGAGGACTACAAAGAGCAGTAAGGTGTATGTACTCCAGATTCCAGAGTTCAGCTGCTCATTTAAGCATGAATACTTTCCTCAAGGCAGCACAACTGAACAAGTCCCTAGCTTTGATTAATCCAGGCTCAAGAACCACGGATCCAATTTTCTAAAGCACAGAGAAACCACAATCAGCAATCTGAATGCTATCTTCATTTATAGTGTACCCATTTATATCGTGCCTTGAATCTACAGTTACATTCCCCATATATTTGTAAACAGGTGAAAATTATATTTTTGAATAGTATTGATATAAATCCATTTCAGTGTAAGAACTGGACCCATGTGACACCACAAGATAACCTAGATCAGGGGCAGGAAAACCTTTTGGCCTGAGGGCCGCATCAGGTTTTGTAAATTGTATGGAGGGCCGGTTAGGGGAGGGGGTCATGGCCCGGCCCCCAACTCCTATCTGGCCCCCCGGGACTCCTGCCCCATCCAACCCCCCTGTTCCCTGACGGCCCTCTGGGATCTCTCCCCCATCCACACACCCCCGCTCCCTGTCCCCTGACTGCCCCCGGACCTCCACCGCCCCATCCATCCCCTCCTCTCATTCCTGATGGCCCCCCCCGGGACTCCTGCCCCATCCAACCGCCCCTTCTCCCTGTCCCCCTCCTGCCCCCCTCCCCCCCCACCT